TCAGGTTGGGGTGGGGAGGAGGGAGCACAGAGGAGACGTCATTTCTGGGAGGAAAAAAAAAACTTCTTGTACCTATTGAGCAACCGGTGCCTATTGTGAGACAGAGAGGGAGATAGAGCTTCGCTCCGGCCTGTGTGTGCGATCCTGCCATGGCAAGCTCACTGCACGTGTGACTCCATCCTTCACCCACGGTGAGTCCATCAGCTTTATGGGGGGTGGCCATTAACCAGCTCACAATGGTTGATGGCTTACAATGACTCCTCTGAGCGTTTCCTGGTGTCATTTCTGTCAGAATTGTCATTTGTGCTGAATGTCTAGAGCTGCTGTCAGGGTTAAATTCTTCCCATAAACCTTCTCCTTAGAGCTGGGCACCCATCTAAAGGGTTAAATAATATCCACTGCATAATATATCATGTTCAGTGACTTTCCTAGTGTTGCTACTGTGTATAATGTGTTTTACTGAGAATGGGAGAGACAGTGGCTATTGTCTTTATTACCCCCAGCATCTCTGGGCTAGGTCAGTCCTTCCCTTATGACCTGCCAGTAGATTAAGGGTCAGTTCTGCATTTGTCATTGATGGGCTTTTACTTTTGAATATCTATCTATCTGACCGTAAATCTCATTTTTGTAAACCACTCCAATCTTAATTACAACTAATCATTTATTTGTCAGGATAGCACAACTGTGACTTTAACAGCTTCCAGATCTTATCCTTGGCATACTTTATATAAAACATATAAACCGTGAAACCATTTATTATCAGCTGTATACATAAGAGCGAGTAAGTGTGCTGTTTGAGAAATCTTTACCAAGCCAAAAATGGCTATTTAACCCTTTAAGGACCAAACTTCTGGAATAAAGGGGAATCATGACATGTCACACATGTCATGTGTCCTTAAGGGGTTAAGGTAAAGCATTACATTTAAGAAATAAAACCTCCTTTTTGGTTTCCACCGTGATTATGACTGACTTAGCACATTGATACAGAACAGCACCTGTTTTCTTTGTTGCGGTTTTGCAGTATGTGTACTTTGTTTATTGATACGTTTTTATTGACTTTTTTTTTGCCGTGTTTAATATATTAAATAAAAGTAAAAAAAAAAAAATGACATGCTGTATTTGATGCCAAAATAGCCAAGTTTCAATAAATGGCTGAATTGGAGAATCTTTCCAATGCAGCTATTTTGGCCTAAAAAAAGTAAATCACATTTTGTTTTTAATACCCATACCTTGGAAGTTTTGTTAACCAAACACCAAATTCTAGCGAATTGAAAACTGAAATAATAAACTATGAATATAGAGGAATTGGATAATGTTTCTATATTGATTTGCTTTAGTCCGCATTTTGCAATTTGGTTTTCAGTTCATTAGTGTTTGGCGAATTAACTCTAATAGTTAAGACGATATCTTGTCAATCCAAGCTTGTCTACCATTCACATTATTTGGCTGCTCATTGCTCACACCCCATGATCCTGTCAAGACTGGTTTTTTTCCATACTCCTGTCCTCTTTTTATACAGGCTGCCAATTCTGCCTCTGGGGGTAATTGCTTGGATTTCATAACCACTAGAGCACACAGTGTAAATGCCATGCTAGGCCATACAAAGCATGGATATCTGCCTTAGATTGGTTTCTGGCAGTGCAGCATCTCACTACTTACCAAAAGAACTGGATTGAGTTTCCAGGAAAGTCGTAAGCGCCCAAATCTTCGTAATTCAATACAGATGTTTCTTATTTGGACATGGTCTTTAGAAATCTATATCCCCAAACTAAGTAAAATAACTCTACGTACGTAAATGTGAAATTATTATTTTGCATCAGTAGTTATTCTAACAGTGACTTGGGATGCCCAAAAGGTAGATCCCCAGATTTTTTAGAACTATAATGCTTTGACTGCTTTTAGAGTGGCAAAGCATCATAGAAGTCGTAGTTTTGAAATATCTGGGGATCTACCTTTTGTGCACCCCTGGGTTAATGTGAAACATTTCATAGCGACACACTTCACATACAGGCAACAGGCTCCATGACCACCTCAAATTATGTAAGTGGTCATGGTGTTTGCAGTAACCCTTTAAATATGTTCCAATGTAAAGTATTAATATCAAGCTTACAGTGTCTAGATGCCAATACACAATCTGTTCATTTGACTTTTGAATTACCCATTTTTATGTAAATGATATTAAGTCTGTTACTTGACAAATTTTAGATCGTGGTGTTCTCCAAAAACACATTGTCCAGCACATTTTATCTGCTGTTTTGTAAGAACCATATATGTGCTGCCAACAATATGCATTAATTAGTTATAACTGTGATAAGTAGAATATGCATATTTCGGATGCGAGACTTTGGGGTTTTATTCATTGTAGGCACCCAGAGCACTTCAGTTCATTGAAGTGGTCTGGTTGCCAACTCCCATCACCCTTAACCCTGCAAGTGTAATTATTACAGTTTTTATAAACTGCAATAATTACTTTGTAGGGTTAAGTCCTCCTCTAGTGGCTGTCTAGCAGACAGCCACCAGAGGGACTTCCGGTTGTCTAAACAACGCTAGACGTCCTCACGCTATGCATGAGGACCTCCAATATCGCTTTCCTATGGGGAGGTCTAATGCATGCGCATGGCCATTGCTATACATGCGTATTAAGTCTCAGCGGGGGAGGAACATGGGCGGAGCCTGACCCAGCACCGAGGGAAATCGGTGCTGGATTCAGGTAAGTGTCTGAAGGGGTTTTAACACCTTCAGCGACGTGGGAGGGGGGCACTCCAGGATTCTCTAGTGCCAGGAAAACGGGTTTGTTTTCCTGGCACTAGAGAATCCCTCTTGAACAGAGATTTGATTACTAAATTTGAAAACTCCATATACAGTAGCCGTTAGCCAAACTGTGACGATAGTTGGTTTGGTAATTCCCCCATCCCTCCCCGAGACAACTGTTTGGCCTAGATCTTGCAACACCGTTTTTAATTCACCATTTAGTAATTTAAAGCTACAGCTTTAGTGGTTATGGTGACATAAACACCTTCCTAGGGTAATTTGACAAACAATTTTTAGAGAGTAGTTTGACAACTTATCTAAGTCTACCAGGTGTCAACTTGCACAGATTGCTTCTAGATTCTCCTTGCAGGAGAACCCAGTTAGCTCCATCCAGCTAAGTAGGGTCATGCTCATTGAAGACGCCCAGCATCTCCTACATGTGATAGAACAAGGGACACCACACTCCCTTTGTCTCCAGAGTGCAATTGGACCTGAGGTAGGCTAATGCTGAGTCTGTAGTTTAGAAAGTAGACAATGGTCCAGAGACTCAAGGTGTAACCAAAAACGCAGGTGTATTGGAACAGTGTACAAGCAACGTTTTGACCCGAAGGGTCTTTATCAAGCCAAAATCTGGACGTGTGTCAATACACAAAATATTGAAGCCCAATTATAAAGTAATTTCTTTGGGCCGAAACGTTAATTGTGCACAGTTAATAAATATGCGTTTATGGTTACACTTTGAGTTGCTGAACCATAGTCAACTTTCTTCTACACGAGATAACATGCTGCAGCACAGGTGCCTGGGGGACACCGGTAAGTTGTCAAACTATACTAAAACATTTTGACAAATTACACTGGGAGAATGGCAGGGTAGTTGTTATGGTGGTTTGAGTTCTCCTTTAAACCAATAGTATTATCAGGTTATTTACATTTTAATCTGTGAGTTGCCTGGAAGTCATCAGTAATGTTTAGGCCAAAAATGCTAAAGTGAGTGATGAAGGTACCCACACGGATTCTTTAGACATAACATTGATAACTTTTTTTTTTTCCCTCCAGATGCATAAACCTTCTTCCTATAACTTTTGTACATCATTTCTGGTTATCACTTGTGCCGTGCATAGTTTTTGTGGTCGACCTGTAATAAGTTATGAAACAAATTGCCTAATTTAGACAAAGATTGCTTATTTTGAAAAAATATAAATTTTTCTGGTTTTGTACATTATATCTGACACTGATATTTTTAGATTAAATGTTGTTTGGTGCTATTTTACCACAATTTATCATCTCTGTCAGATTAAATGCTAATTAACATATTGTAAAAACATGGCTAGGATTCATGCTTACTTTGCCATTCTCCATGCATATGTGAATAGCAGACTAATTTTTGTTTTTACATGTATAACTTCACTATTTCCGCTTTCACAGGGGGAGGTTAGCCTTACTGTATTTACACCATGCAGATCATTTGGGTATTTTAACCGTTTGCTGTCCTAAGAGGAGATAATTTTACTCTTGTAGTTGTCATGCCTTTGTAGCAAAGACCATAAGGAATAGCTAGAATACTTGACATAAATCACACAGCATGAGCTCTTATATTCACTATTGTTACTAACTGATTTGTTTTACCTTAAAATCCCTTATCTGACAGCTGTTTTGATAACATTATCTGTGAAGTAAAATCCATTAGTGCTGTAAACAGTGGCTTGGTTTCCTCTATTTCTTTGTAAAATGCCTAAGCCTAATCAAAATTATACATTGGGGAGACAATATTGAAAAATAGCTTAAAAGGTAAATAAGAGATATAGAGATAGATATAGATATAGATATATATATTCGATCTCTCTCATTTAACTTTTTAAGCTATATTTTTTTTTCTCCCCTCACTGCTACAATTGATGTCTATAATTTTGAGCCAACCATACTGTGTGTGTGTGTATATATGTATATATATATATATGTGTATGTATGTGTGTGTGTGTGTGTGTGTATATATATATATATATATATATATATATATATATATATATATATATATATATATATATACATATATATACACACACACACACACACTATGGTTGGCTCAAAATTATAGACATCAATTGTAGCAGAATTATCACGAATTAAGAAGAAAATGACGAAAATAAGTCTATTTTCTTCACAACACCACACACACAAGATATGCCTCTCTCCCCCCTCTGTAAGGGGACCTCATCCGCTTTTCCATTGTTCTTTCCCCTCACTGCTACAATTGATGTCTATAATTTTGAGCCAACCATACTGTGTGTGTGTGTGTGTGTATATGTATGTATACACACACACACACACACACACACACACACACTATGGTTGGCTCAAAATTATAGACATCAATTGTAGCAGTGAGGGGAAAGAACAATGGAAAAGCGGATGAGGTCCCCTTACAGAGGGGGGAGAGAGGCATATCTTGTGTGTGTGTGGTGTTGTGAAGAAAATAGACTTATTTTCGTCATTTTCTTCTTAATTCGTGAATTTCTGCAATATTCTGTTTATTTTGGATTTATTGGTTCGGTAGTTTAAAACTACTGACCACCCTCCTGGCTCATTAACTTCAAAAGAAAACAGTCTATTAAGCGCTCTCTGGGCAGCCGCCATTTGTATAGCCGAATGCCACGTGGAACAGAAAACGGCGGCCCTCTTGTTTGCACAAAAGGAGGTCGTGGGACTTGGTCGTCGAGTGTCTGGAACTAAAATCGGACACTCGACTTCCCGAACCACCGCTGAAACATACGAACGCCTGCTTCCTTTTGTTGCCGACCAGCTAGGAGAGCGCCATTCGGTAATTTGCTTCATACGAACAAGGGGAGCAATCGCTCCTATGAGCCAGGAGGCTCCATTCGTGTCTTTATTTGTTTTTATGCCATTTTCTGAATTGACCTACCGCACACACTGAATTCGTGGAACGGTTTTGGGCAGGAGCCTCGTGTGCGGTCGGTAAACTTAGACTTCCACACTTTTTGAGAACCCCTGAACCGATCTGTGTGAAATTTGAATATGTTGGTCTCCCAGATCGGGGCTATCAGGGGACATGTTGGGATACCTTGTGGGTAAAGGGGTGTTCTAAGTTTTGGGAAAATTGTGTGCTCTCTCCCTGGAGTTAATTGGGTTATTCCTTAATTTATCTCAGAATCTCCCAGGCAGAGAGAGGGAGTGTTTTACTGTTAATCTGTACAATGATTGGTTGTTCCTTTTTGTTTACTGTGGAAGGTCCCCTTGCAGGAGGATTTCCATAAAAGCCAGTGTGGCGTCAATTAAGCTCATTCCTGTTACACCCTTCATGAAGTCTAGGCTCATGCTTGGGGAATATTTTACTTGCTGGAGAGAATCGTCTTGAAAGCTGCATTTATCTACCCTATTCCTCTACACCCTAACTGCAGTTATAATCACTTATACTCAGCTATTGGGAAAGGAATAGAAGACCTCAGCACCATAACCACTGAAGGTCTTAACAGGTGTGATCTGGGTTAAGGAGTATGGTTTTGTTTTGAGGGTAATTTCATTTGCTGTCATGCCTCAGGTTCCTTCCCATCCTCTCAAACTACGAGCTGTGGGACAGCAGCAGTATGTGGTGAGATACGAGCAGTAAAACTATTGACAGGAGGATTACACAATTCGCCCCCGCCCCATACTAATGAGTTCGTTTCTGCTGGAAGCCTAGTACCACTGGCGTTAACAAGGCATGCCATGGAAGATGAATAATCATGTGAATACCCTTTCAAACTATTGCTCACCCTTTCACATGTTATGTTACATCCATTTCCCACAGCTTAGCCAGGATGTTGCCACCTCATGATTTTAACCTAAATCAATTGTATAGAAATTGTGTGAATAAAGGGCACCCGTAGATTCTATATGAATCACCCATAATATGGCAGAGGTATGGAGAGTTTTTTTGCGTGTAAGTTTGCGATATATCGGGTAGGGTGGGAGGGGTGTGGGGAAGGCTGCAAATCTAACCCTCTTATAGCTTTGCTAATGGCAAGGGTGATAATGTATCACAGAATGTTTTGAGATGCTCTATTCCACTCTCCCAAATGTGTATCCCACTAATGGGTCACGGTCTGGCTTTTGTGCTATAGTGAAATCACTGGAATAACAAAATAAAAAGTGATGCATTTACTCCTACATTCCTCTGGTGCCAAATATGAAACCGAGAAACCTTACAAAGAAAATAAAATCCTATTTTACACCTCCAGTGTAATGGCCATACCATCTGTTCATGCTCTTGTCAGACCCAAGCTTATCGCAGGTTGACATTTGGTGCATGTTTCTCACATTTCTTGCACAAATCTTTTTATGTAGATCTTTTGCAGAAATGTAGGCAGTCTTGGATGGATAAGCTAAATATATTGCTACTACAAATGTGATGGAAAATACATTTAGATCCCCACACCCCTTTTTTCAGAAAAAAAAAAAAAGAGATCATTATTTCCCCAAGGCATGTTTTGCAAAGATGTACTGGGGATTTATATGATTTGCAGAACTATAGTTAATGGTACCACTTAGTTGTAGAGCCTCATGCATAAAACATCAGATTGTCTATGAATTTCTATCTTACTCAGCTTTTATTTAGCCATGGAGATTTCCATATATACCACTAACATCTGTTTGCTCTGCATGGGTTCTTTGGAAAGGACAATAAACCTTGAAACTGGAAAAACATTTTTATTAATTTTTTTTGTTTGTTATTTATTATATATTCCATAAGTTTCCAGGCTGCTTCTGTCACCAGAGAGTATGCATGCACAGTAAGTGCTATAATTTTGGAAATGATCTTTACTAAAAGGCAGATAAAGTTAAAGCCAGATTTGCCTACAGGCTATTTAGCAAAAGCAGTGTCTCCATTGGAAAAAGATATGCGCCTGCGAGGGACAGGCTCAATTCCCCGGACACCCAGCAGCGATGTCACCATTGGAGGTCTTTGCAATTTATGCATGTACGGTTTTCATTTTGCTGCTAAACACTGATTTGGTAAGAAAATTTATATTTTTCATTGAAGGTAGGAGGAAAATATTTTCTTATTTAGAGCCATCTTTATTCTCACTCTATGTGCGGAGCAAGTGATAGAACTATTTTCTTTTGTTGTTGTTTGTGTAGTTGGTTTTTTGTTTTGTTTTTTTCTCTCAAACAGTCCTGTTACTTCCTGGTAAACTCAAGAAGCAGGCAATTGCCCAGAATCCTTAACTTGCAAACTAGAGCTGCATTGGGAAGTCTGATTGGGCAGCAACAGGAATTCTGGCCTGGGTTAGAAGGGGGGGACTTGCAAAGGCAGCAGATAAAATAACTGTAGTTTTTAGATCTACCATCAGTGGGGAAAAAAATAATAGTTTAGATGTGTTTCCAATAAACAAATGCATATGAATTGTTAAACTTGTCGGTTTACAAGTTGAGCTGAGCTTTTGGGTGCATATAAATATGACTCAACGTAGTCCCACTCCCTGAGGCTTGTATCTTCATAGGAAAATTACAAATATCTCCTTTATAGAAGGTTTGAGCTTTTATTTTAGATGACCATTTTACAGTTGGAAAAAAAGAGAAATTTACTCTAGTTGTGAATTGAATAAATGTGTGGGTGAAAAAATCCTCTCATGTAATGCTCTCCCAGGATGCTGCAAAATGAGATCTCCAAAATCATCTATTGTTAAGAGAATACTGTTTCTTAAAGTTTAATGGTCATATGAGAGATTGTAGCTTTAATGGCTTTTTTTTTTTTCCATCCATTTTAATTTTATAGTATACATTGTAGAATAGTTTTACCATTCAAATGAATGTACCCCTATACACTTGGTGCTTGATGGATGAACGTGCATCAACGTGACTTGAACATAGAAATGTAGAGAGATGTCCATTTTTCCTTGCCTATGACGTACTTCTTCAGTAGTGTCCACTGGGGTGAGGGAGTGAAGCACTGTCACTTCTAGGCGTGACCATCAGCTTTTAGTAAATGGTTCTCTGATGGGCTAAGTAATTGTACTTGTTTGCTTGGATTTTTATGGATCAATATGTAATCATCTAAGTGATGTTAGAACCACCTAGCTGGCAGTGAAATTTGAGAGTAGCAATCCTGCAACACCTGTGTCACAGTTTGACATGCCCTGCTTTTACACAAAAGCTGAACTCTTTGTAAATATGCTAGGGAGGTTTGTGTGTGTCTTTATTTTATTTTTATTTATGTGTATTTGTACAGGAAATGGCTTTATAAACTTTAAACCAGAGTAGAAGTCTAATTAAATGCATGAATTGCAATATTTTTTCGTTCCCATTAAAGTTGCAGTTTCTTTATTTGGTGATTTAAAAAAAATTGGATGGCGTTTTGACAGGTGTTGCTTTGTTACAACAGTTTTCCATCCAGCTCCATGCTGTTTGCGGATGCCTATGTCCCTGAACAGTTATTGTGTCTTAGCAGGGGTCCAGGTTAAAGGTCACTAATGTTACATTGACTTTGGAAAAGGGATGTGCAGCTGGGGTCACATTTTTCTACACAGGATTGGATATTCCTACCATAAAACTTTATTATATATTGGCAAATTCCTCCTTGCCAGTACTGTATGGTACAGCAGATTTTGAGAGCTCTATCTGCAATCTGGAAAGCATCTAAAGATCCAAGTAGTCACGTTAATGTCAGCAATGTACTGGGAAGCTTTGTTTTTAAAGGAACACTCCGGGCACCATAACAGCTTCAACACATTGAATTTGTTATGATGCCTCAAGGTGCCTTGCCATAAGAGGTTAAACGGTTCTTGGTGAATCCCCATTCATAAAACTAGCTTGTGAAAAGTTATTCTTTTCAAGCCCATTTTATGAATGGGAATTGACTGACTGTGAGAATCAGCCGACCGCTCTTAGGCAATCAGCAGGAACCGGTGCTCAATTCTGCAGGAGCCATCCCGTTTAGATATTCTTAGAAAACAGAAGGGCGGGGACATTCAGCGCTGCAACAAAGACTTTAGGTGAGACAACACCAGGGACGACCTGGCACCATAACTTATTTTTGCTGAAATTGTTGTGGTGCCTAAACTGTTCCTATAAATGTACACTCCCCTCCTGAATTATAAATAAAATCGCAAATTAGTAGATATACCCCACATAGAAAACATGCAAATATTATGCATTTTCTTTTAATTGAAGCTATAGATAAAAATACTTGGCAAAAGCTCCAGATCTCTTGTCTAAAGCTATTGCAAGCCATTCCTTTCTTCTCTAACTCAGACTTTCTGTGGCGGCCTAATCAGACTTCCCAATGCAGCTCAGTGAGCAGTCTTTGCAAGACAGTTGCTGTGGGTAAATTACCTGCTTCGAGTTTACCTCCACTGAGCTAAATAAACCAGGA